GTCTGTTGCCCAACGATCCCGTCGAAAAAACCGAATATCCGCCAATCAGTTTCACCGAACCGAACCGAATGATCGACTGCGGACTGGACTAGGCTGAATGTCAATGATCCTAAACGATAAAACGATCATCCCCGTGCGGTGTACAGCGGTTCTCGATCAAAAACCAAGCAATGTCTTCCGTCGGCTCATCGGCCAGCCCCGATCGAAGACTACTACCAGCCCCGCTACCTTTCCTTCGCTACCGGAACGACGCCCTTTTGTTTGCTCAAAAATCTTTCTTCTTATCCTTATCGACAAGACCATTGTCGTGGTAGCTAATTTCTTGTCCAGGGACCGCCGGATGAAGATAGTGCGGCTCCACGTCGATCTTCTCCTTCACGTCGGGGTCCAACACCATCGAATGATGCGGTCCTCTATGGAGCACCGTCGTCGTCGAGTGGTGCTGTTGTTGCTGCTGTTGTTGCTGTTGCTGCTTAGAAGAAGACTGGTGCTGATGCTGATGCTGGTGCTGATGAGAGTGCTGCCTCTCCTCCTCCTGGCCGTACTTCTTCAATAATTCCCTCAGCTTATCTAGGTCGATGTCCTCCTCGAACTTCGAGAACAACTCCTTAGCCCCGGACTCGTCCAGCTTTTCCGAGTCCTTCAGCTGTTTGTAAAGTTGCAGGAATCTCTCGTCGGCCTTCACACCGTCCCTCGTCGTGTTCTTCGAGGCGTTTAAGTTCGGGTTCAACAGCAGATCCGGCGTCTCGTGCACGATGTTCACGTTCTTGTCCAGGTTCTCCTCGGTCAGCGACTGGAGCAGCGTGTTGTAGTCTGGCTTGATCCTCGACGTCTCCATGCACGAGCTGCAGGAACAGTTCGTGATGATCTGAACCTTCTTCTGCATCGTGACGGGGTTGTTCTCTTCATCCTTGCAGTTCAGAGTCACCTGGAGAATAGAACGTTCCGTGAGAATCCGATGGATATGCAAACCGTATATTATTGGCCTCTTGACTGTCGAATTTTATGTAACGCTAGATTTCAAGTTCGCGAATGACACTGTTTACCAAGAAAATTCGACAGTTAAGAGGTTGAGTATCGCTAAAAGTTGATCTACTGGTTTCAACGTGCTATTGAAGAGATCGTTGCACTGTCACGATGTCTCGTTAATTTACCGTGTGCCACACGCTGTCAAGGGGTTGGCACGAGTCGCAGTACGGTCTGATCAGGTCGCCGGGCGCGGACGGCTCGCTATGGGGCACCATGTACGAGAAACAGGCGCCAACGCACACGTTGTTGTCCAGCTCCTGCGAGGAACACTGCGGCCATGTGACCACCTGCTTGATCGGAGTTGTCTTGCACCAGCTGTGTTTGTCGGGGTACAGCACAATGTTGTGGACCTTGAAGGAACGATCGCGCTGAACGTCAGAAGACAAGAGAACGAGGGAAGGAAAACTGGAGACGGCAAGATGACGAATTGTACCATAAGTCTGCAGCATTCTTTGAAACCACATTTCTTCGCGACTCTATTCTTATTCAATTTCACATGCCACCTTTTCCTTCCTCTAAGATCGCGATATCAGATTTGAAATTTTTTGAAAGTTCTCTCGAAGAGTATAACTTCTATTTTTAAGTCACCGCGGAGAGAAAGGCTACAGACTCAGGATGCAACTGCAAGATGCGTCTTCGGAGAAGATCGATAAACCTTGTGCTCTCGGTGTGCAAGAAGAAGTGTCGACTGGACGAGCAGCAGGATCGCCACCGTCAGGTGACACGTCGATCCCATGATCCCTGAAACAATGCAAGGAGAGAGAGGGTATCCGAATCTTTCTAACTGATCGACGGTCGCCGTGAAATAGTTGCCAGGTAAGAGGAGCCGCGCGCCTAACCGCGGAACCAAAACTTTCTCCGTCCCCGAAGAGTCGTCGGCTCGCCATCAAGAATTTCGCGATTGCGATTCGAGGCGCGGCGTGCCGCGTGCACGTGTGCATTGGGTATTCGCTGCTCCCCACCCAGGATGAATGAAAGTTGTCGCCAGCGGTAGGTCTAGGTACATAGTTTGCCGTACACCTTGGCGAATTTTAATAACCCGAGTACCTTGTTTCTGCAGCCACCGAATGAAACGCCTAACGTTTCCACGATTGCGACGCATTCATTTTCTCGCGTGGGACATTCATAAGAAACCGATCACTCCGTTCGCATGTTGGTCCCATCGCTATTCAGAAAGAAGCACTTAATCACCGTCGATTAATCGCGTCCAAAACAGTCACACAAGGATCGTTCCCAATCCATCAAACGGTACAATTCCTCGAACATCAGAAGTGACCAGCTATAGTCAGCCTGACACGCCATAAAAAGCAACGTAACAGGAAATTACACATAAAAATCAATCGATACACGGCGAGATCGGAGTAGCTACGCACACGGTCCCATCGCTGGTCCCGTGGGTCTCGTGGCTCGAGGTCTCCGGTTCGACGACCGTCTGAAATTACGTCACCGGGATTTGTCGTGGTGCCGTTTCGAACTGTAGGAAGAGTCGGCGGGGGGGCAGTGGTGAAAGAGGGGGAACGACGACGACGACGACGGCGGCGGCGGCGGCCGTCTCTTCCTTTTTTCGTCGCTCAGTTCGTCGCGTGAATTTTGTTTAAAGCGAGCCCCGTCGGTGCGTATAGGGGGCTCGTAAACGCGACGGGGCCCGACCTCGAGGCGTCCACGAGGGAACACGGGGTTAATAGAGAGGGGAAAGCCGTATCTCGTCACTGGGGCCCCCGTAACGGCGCGGCGCGCCGCGTCTCGCCGGGTATCGGCGACGACGCGGTGCCCGGGTCGCCTTCCATTCATAAATCGTCGGCCCATGATTCCTCGATTCCGGCCCGGCCCCGTCCAAGAGGCACCGGGATGCTCGAGTTTTAAAGTCGCCGAGATCTCGAGATAACGGAATTCCCCGCGGCCCATCGGGATCAAGGGAAAGAGGAGACTTTCTCGTGGATGGCCCCGGCCATAAATAGCAGCGGATTTAGGGTACGGGGCTTGAATACGGGATGCAACTTCTTCCGGCGCGCGATGCGTCTCTCGTTCGACGAAAAACCAGGATATCGTGCACCCGGGCTGCCATGTTTTCGGCGGACCATCATTGTTACGCCGTGGATGCATTATGCAACGATGCGGGAAATAATTTCGCCACGGCTCGGAGGCCTCTTCGTATTGGAGCTGCTTCGCGAGGTTAGATCTTCGGTTTGGGTTCTTCGATATTTCCTTGGACTACGAATGCTGCGAATATTGTTTAATACAATTGGAGAAGATTCGAGTTAGCCCATATCGCATTGATCGAAGGCGACGCGCATTTGAAGTCGCGGAATCGTTTATTCTCGGAGCAATCGGTAATGAAGTGATAATTCCGTATCACGCAGGGAAAAGGGAACGAAGCTGCGAGTAGGGAGCAGCGAGGGGATGAAAGAAAAGGGAGATAGCGCCGGGGAGCAAGGAGCAAGGTAGCCGAAGCACCGGGCCGGATCGATGGCGGCGGGAAAAAAGCGTCAATCTCATCGTACGATCTTTCTTGATCCTTCGGAGATCACCGTCGAACAAGTGGCAGGAACGACAAGGTAAAAGGATGTGCAGGTCCAATTACGAGAGCTCTCTCCGGCCCCCCTTTTTTCGTCCGGCCGAAAGCTCTCGGATCCGTTCAACCGGCGCGGACCCGTTTCGTGCTGCATCCTTGCCTCCCAGCCTCCTCCAGGAATTCACTTTGTCGTTGGACTCGCGAGTTGAATTCCTGACAACAGAAGGAATCTCGTCCCTCCCCGGACAATTGGTCCCCGGTATTTCCAGGAGAGGATCAACTTTTCGTTCCCCTCCGATGCATTTCAATCCGGATCCCCCCGTGGTTTCCTTTTCTTCGACTCGTTCGTCCCGCCACCTTCGTTCGTGGAACCTTTTCTTCTCCGCGCGGCTCCCGTTCTACTTTATTCTCACGCGCGGCATCGGCCAACTTTTTTGCTTCTTATTCCGACTTCCGAGAAGCACGGAAGCCGCGAGACGAAACCCGATCACGGATCGGAAGAATGATCTTGCGACGGGATCGCCGCGGACCGTTCATTGATAAGGCGATGCAGGCGACTTCGCGCGCAGACAGCGACCGTTGTTTCAGATAAGGGGAGCGTGTCTTGCAGCTCGATCGAATTACGCGAGACTAAGGGAAACGTTGCACGACGGTCCGGTTTTATTCGCGGGAAGCTTCTCCTTTGGCGAAATAGAGGTACAGTGGTGCAGTCGTTGGTCGGGCGAACTGAGCTTCTCTGGCCTGAGGGCTTCGAGCTCTTGAATTTTCTTTCTCGCGTCGTGCCGTTTTATGGATGGAGTAGAGATATTTTTACTATTCAGAATGGAATGTGCTTTAGATATGAATAGTGTTTAGACGAAATAACTGATCAACAATCTTGTCTAGTTCGAATGAATGTAGAGAAAGGCGTTATAAGTATAAAATGCGTAAAGATTCGAGTTGCGAATGACATTTCAATTCGGATCGTAGGGTATCAGAAACGTTGACTTTTACTAATAGCTTCTTACACCCGCCGCAAATTAGCCTAAACACACGATAGTCAGCAAATTAGAGCTCTCAGCTGATTCTTGTTGAATCACCCTGTACGTGCCAGCGGGGGGAGGTGCGCGGCCGCACTGCCCCGGCCGCCCATCTCATTTCCACGAGCGGAGATTTGAATGACCGAGTAGGACACTGCAGGGACGTACTTAATCCGGATGAGTTTCACGACTCGCTGTTAGCGACCACTTCATCCAAGCTGTGTGAACCATGATCCTTGGTTGAAGTGCGAAATACAATTTGAATTAATGCACCTGTTAATGCTGCTTTCTAATTAAAACCTCCTTCACATTAAGGAACCATGTTCTAAAACGTAATGTTGATACATTGATACTAGATCTTCATTCACATCTTCAACGAATGATCTATCATTCTAGTAACCTTACACTTTCATTTCCATGGGAATTGAAACCACACCCTGTCCCTATAGATTTACTAACAAATTTCCCGCAAAAGACTCAAAAACCACCTCTTCACCTCGCAACGCAAATTCATTAACGAACAAGTGTCCAAACAGTATGCAGATCGAAACGAAACCGAAGGAACGCCAACTTCCGTGCAATTTCGCGAAGAAACACGAACCGATCACCGACGACCGACTTCTTCGCCGGCGTGCCTGCTAAATACGGCCCTGGCCGGGTCGCAGCCAGAAGTCCAAAGCTCTTTGTTGCTGCGCCACCTTCTCTTCTCGCCTCTGGGTCCGTGTCGGTGGCGTGGAGGACCTCCGGTCCACCTCTTTCTCTACCATCTTCCTCTCAGTCCCGTTCCTTCGATTTGCTCGTGTCGTCCGCGCGAGAGGGACGAGGACGG